ATGAACAATGTAAATTATACATTGTTGAGAAAATGCAGCATCTCTTGTATTTATTGACGTAGAGGAGCCTTATTGTTTACCTTTTTAATATCATTTTTTGTAAGTTTCAATTGCTTGGTTTTCGTGAAATTAGCCTGTTTTCCTCTTAAAGTGCAACAGACTGATGCATTCTCCACAGATCATCTTAAAGGCTTCGGAATCCCCCCATTGTAGTTAAAAAACTGTAAAAACTAGGGCCCCCAAACAGCATCTTGCATAGGGCCCCCAAAAAGCTAGAAACGGCCCTGAGTCCTTATTGTTTATAAATACATTTGTGAGCTGCAAACAGATGAAGTTATTGAGTTATGAAGGCATTTTCAATACCAATGTTATTATCATAGTATGACTTAATCCTTTCCAGAACACTACAATACAATCAAACCCATTCGATTATTATTTACTAGTCTGATTATGACTGCAGTGTGTGTGTGCGTGTGCGTGTGCGTGTGTGTGTGTGTGCGTGCAGTAGTGCTCCCCCTGCCGGTCGGTGTGCTCACGCACAGTGACGTTGCCATCATCCTCATTAGCATCCCCATCCTTCCCACAGAGCCGCTGGTCTGTTTACAGGTCACTCCGCTAAACGGAGGAGACATTTCTGGCTGTAGGTGAGTCCAAACCAATGACTGCATAATATAAAGGTCCGAACATCGGTACTTGCTCTTTTCATTTGGGTAACAGAACATTTTAAACTGCTCGATGAAAGGCAGCCTTGTAATCTACATCTGAAGCTAAAGCTAGCAGCAGCTAGTCTGTATCGTTAACAGTTAGCAGCGCTCCGTATGATGACCAGTAATATTTATATATCAAATAGTCACTTCTAAATTTGAGCTCGTTTTTGTTGCCTACTGTGAGACACTCATCTTGCGTTTGTTGTTGAAGTGGTAGCCCCATTGCTAGTTAGCCTACATAGCTAAGCGTCCATTATCGGACACTCCTGGCGAGTTGCTTTACTTTCCCCCATTTTCTGCCAAAAATATTGCTCACAGCCACATTGAGCCACAGTGGTATATTAGACTTTAAAATGTTTTCGGGCGATTATATGGAGCTGGCCTAATCTATGTCCGCCGACATCGCTCATCTTTGTCCAGACAAGCTAACTAAGCACTAGCAGTTCTTCGCAGAGATAGAGCAGCTATACCGCTCATTTGATGTTGTTGGTTGCCGGTTCATTTAATATAAGATAGTTTGGACACAATTACCCAATGTCAAAGACTGTTTGGCTTCAAGCGGGCCTTACAGTGGTCCTTTTGCGGGTTATCAGTAGTCAGCATCACCACATCATCTCACACCCCTGCCCCTGGGTGCGGTGTCAGCTCCACCCAGCTGCCATCATCATCCCCGGCAGGAAAACATGCCTGAGCCTCTCACACACAGTAAACATAGCATCGATCATAACAAGCAGCAAATTGAAGGGAATAATCATTATTGCATCTATTTTCATGCAAATTAATAATCACTATTAAAATGGTGGTTTGTGTGTGTGCTTTTCTTTTTGCATGGATCTGTACAAACTTTAATACATTTTAAAGTTTCAATTTGTAGGCCGTAACATCTCTGCAGCACCACAATACTTAGTTGGAATAGTATTTGCCTTTTTAAAATAAGATTACTCTGGTCAAAATTGTGATTCCGACAAATTCAGATTAAACACCCAGCCATGATTTAAGCATATTGAGTCCGGGAAACCCTGAATCTCCGGCACTTGGTTTTATTTATATGGACAGAGTAGTATATAATGGCATGCATCTCTTCCTGCTTTTGATATATTCACCATGCTATCTTATGATCTACCTTATGGAGCTCACAGTGTTCTTCTATCTCTTTTACAGTGGACAGTGGATCTGCAGCCCTGCATACTAAACAGGAGAACGAGCTTTTCATCATGAACTGCGATATAGATGGTACGCCGGCTTACATGCAACTTTGTAAAAAACTATACATGTCCCATCATGTTTTAATCAGACAATGCGTTTTAAGTTGATGTGGAAAGCATGTTTCTATTTGCAGGAGACATGGAGAACCAGGTGGAGATGGAGGAGAAGACGAGGTTAATAAATCAAGTTTTGGAACTTCAGCACACTCTCGAAGGTAACACACACACAACTTGGATATAGTACTGTGCTAATGCACTTAACTGCACCTGTCCCTCCATCTCCTTTCCCCATTCACAAACACATGCATATGATTTTGATGGAGGATATATATCACTTAAACTTAACCTCTTTTTAATGTGAATGGTGTTTAACATGTATCCACAAATGTAGGCAGAACTTGTGGACAAATTAGATTAGTTTCAGGCCCAACTACACCAGAAGAGTCTGCTCACACATTCTTCTGTTTCTGATGTTTTTGTTACTCGCCATCAATGTTATATCTGCAAATTCATGTTATCCACTCAGCAGATATAAACAGAGAGAACACAGCTAGACATTTGTGGAAGAAAGGCGCTGGCAGTGTCTCCTAACGGAGTTTCTTCCAAAAAACCCATCTTTTTTTATTGTTCCTATGACAGCAATATCTTGACAACCGTGGTTGTATGACAGATAAGCATCACCCCATTTGAATTTTGTTAAAAATCTTTTGGTCTTTGTTGTGACAGTTTCCGTCTGACAGACACGGCCAAAAACAAGCTTTGCCTTAAAGGTCTTCAGTGTCATTTCTTTGTGCTTTTCTAGATATTATAATAATATTATATAATATTTTCATCTCGAAGCAGCTGCCTTTGATGTTCTCATTGTAATGAATTGAAAAAAAACGCTCAGGCTGCCTTGACATGACAAGCGGTAAAACGGCTATGGCGTGGCCTAACATTTCTAAGGAGAGAGCTGTGCTGCCCCACTAGTGGGAAGCACTCAACGTTCAAATTATTTCAACTCTAACCTTGTTTAACGCTGACTTTTTGACACGCATCCAATCAGTATGTAGCGGCGCAAGATAGCAAAGGAGGTAACCGTAGAATTGAACATAGCTGGCTATTTTCACCGCAAGGCTCTGCTCCAAACCTCGCAGTGAGCAAAGATCAAATAGTGTATCATGTGAATGCAGCCTCATCTCATTTTGTAACTGTGCCCCGATACTGGATTTGTTAAATACTCGAATTTCAACGTATTAAAAGGAAGCATCGCATTTCCGAACTATTCGATGGTTTTAGCTTCCATTTCTTCCTTTTTTTTGTTCCAGACCTGTCAGCGCGGGTGGACGCAGTCAAGGAGGAGAACCTGAAGTTAAAGTCTGAGAACCAGGTGCTGGGTCAGTACATCGAGAACCTCATGTCTGCCTCCAGCGTGTTCCAGACCACCGACACCAAGAGCAAACGGAAGTGAGGAAAAGAAAGGGACCCGCCATCCAGGCATGGAGAGGGATTTGTTTTTCTCAGCAGACCTGGGCGTTTCTTCTGTAATCGCTACTTTCCAGAGTGAATTGGATAATCATAAATATAAACGTTCCCTTCCTGCTGACTAAACAAATCAATCTAACGTTAGTCTTGCCCAGGTCTGTTTTGCAGCAGCTTCCTCTCCACACTACAGACAAGGTAGACATCACCCTTTAATCAGCAACACTAAAACAGAACTATGTAAATAAAGTGGTTGAGGGTCATTTGTACCTTGAGTCTCTTCTTAACGTTCTCTGTCGAAGTCGTATCTGTAAAATAATTCTTAGCTCTGCTTTACCCGCTTGGTTTTCCATATTTCAAATACTGCTGCTCATTTCAACACCGGTTTATTTTAATTATTTATTTTTGTACATTTTTCTTTACGTCAGCGCAAGTCCCGGATGCAAGCAGGACTATTACTCTGTTAAAAAAAGCTGGCAAACTGGACAGTATTAGGGAGGATATAAGATGTAACTGGATCGCATGTAGGAGTTATTTTAAAATGCATCTAATGATGTCATTAAATCAATAATCCCTAAATAACGAAGTGTACAAATAACTTTTTAACAATGTGGATAGTAGATAACAATGCAAATAAAAATCACAGATAAACTAAAAGTGGTGTAAACAGTTTTTAGTTGCAAGTGTATGCAATATTTTAATCACGATACATGATTTCCATTCTGTACTTACAAGTATTTGCGACCCTTTTCAGTTCATCATGTCATGTGGTGTTGTAAATTGTAATGTAAGCGTGATAAAGGAAATTATCGGGTCATAAATGGTTTCATTTGTGTTCTTATTCTGTGGGAGGAGGGGACTAAATAGGCCAGATGACACAAGGAGGAGGAGACAGGCAGGAAGGGAGCAGTTGAGTGGCCTTGAGTGCTATTGATCCACTCAGCCTGGAATACACCGGCTGCTAGAGGAGGGGTATGACTGTAAAATGTGCTGATGTGCTCAGAGTACAGTAGAGGAGGGTGTGTCCTCAAACTTCTGCTAGCTCAGAGACAAAGGGGATGAGGGTGGAAGAAGTAATCCTAAGAATTGTTTCTCTTACGGAAAAAAAAGTCTGATAATATCTGGAAACCAGTTATCAAAGTGGAAGTGTTAACAATACAGGATGCTATTAACACTGTATATGCTTGTAATTTATTAAGGTTATTTTGATAACAGTTGTACAGGCTTTCATTTATTTGCTGGCATGTTTTTTTCCCACATAACCACCCTGTACTCTTGTGTGTAGACACCCTGCACCTTTGCCTTTTAGACATTTGTTAAATAAAAACCTAATATCACTCCTTTCTCTGGGTCTTTTTTCACCTGTACAGCTTTATATAGGACATATCCTGCTTCTTTTAGGTGCTTTTTTGTATTTTGTGCTGCTAATGTGACATGTTTACATGCAGAAACTCCCTCTGGAAGAAACCTTTTTTCTAGATTTTAGCCTTTGCAGACCATTTACATGCACAAACCTATTAAACTCACTACAGGAAAGGGAAAACCCCAAAAGCATAATAGGGCCTCTTTAAAAAAGAAAATAAATCTGAATTGCTCAGAAATAAAATATGCCCTTTTTCATAATTTGTATTCAATATTTTTATTTCCAAGAGCAATGTACAATTTGCAAACAAATGTAAACAGGGATATCTGCCAGAATGTGGCAAGAACATGAACTACAAAAGCTCGAGACAATAATATAAAACAAAATAAATTAGCATCAATGTTTCCCCCAGGCAACAATCTGGGGTGTGAACTGATATTCTGCGAAAGCACTGCTGTGTACTGACAGATTGAGACGTGTTTTCACAGGGTTAATATATCCAGCTGTTTGATGTAGAAACAGTCTTATTGACAACTGATGGCCAAGGCATTCAGTGTTTTGTTTTTTTAATCAGGTAAAGCATTTCAAACAGGCCTAGGTTCAGAATAATCATATTCAAGAAAACTGCCTTAAGTCGCTGGAAACACTGCATTATTAAAACTGAATTCATACCAGCATAAAACATACAGATAGGACCAGCTGTGATAATCCTCCATTGATAAATTATAAAAGTAAATGATGCTCCTTACAAACTAGCTAAAATCTAAAACAGAATGTGGAGTTTTATTGAGGTTAACTTTTAAACCTAAACTGTGTCCCCCCCCCCCCCCCGGACTGTCAAAACCCGAACAATTTCAAAACACGAAGGAACTTTATTCTTGAATTCAAGGACATGAAAAATAACTAACTGGTGAGATGTAGCCCATGTGATATGCTGTGTAATGGAAGGAACAAGTGGAGTGGACAGCTTTTTTTGGGGGGGGGGGATTTTTTTAGGCTAGCAATGGCTTAGAGAAGAGAAGATGGAAAAAAGGAAAGCTCAGGAAAGAAGAGGAACAACATCTAGAACGAGCAGAATCTCCAAAGGATTCTTCTCATAGTTCGATAAGCAGGCAGGAGGGGGGAGTCGAAACAAGACGGGGGAGGATGCAGGATGTGGTTTGGGAGACACTGCCCTGTGAGCGGGCAGCTGGAGGGGGGGGACGGGGACTGCAGGCTACCAGGTGGTGTGGAGGAAACGCATGCTGCTCCACTCAGAGGAGGCGGAGCAGCAGCAGCAAAGACGGCCTTTCAACCTCCTCCGCTTTGGGGGGGGAGACAGGAGATAGTGTAGATGTGGGGGGGTTCACCTCTTCAGTCTTTCCGTACCCTCCTCTTCCTCACGGCTTGTTTGTGGCTCTCCTCGGTGACGTCTCCGCCCTCCTTCTGAAGCAGAGCACAATTGGTATCCAATTAAAAGCGAGAAATGAAAGGTGAATTTTATGGATGAGATATAAGAACCCACTCTCGCTATTGCCACATGACCAATATGTTAATGAAAGTGCAGCGTTATCTGGACACGTCATCAGGTGATCTAAAACCTTTTTACATTATACTTCGCTGATGCTTTCAATCCAGAGTGACTCAACAATAAGTGCTAACAGCCATGACAGTCTAGTTGCCAGCTCATAGAGTTCTATTGTGAACCGTTTATGTTGAGTACCCCAACGTTTTATGTTAGAAATGTACAGTACGGGTCCCCAGCACTTAGACATTTCCGAATGCTAATTTGCATATGTTGGACAATTTGCACTATTAGCATGAGATGCATTAATTAGCAAATGCAAACAATAGATACAAAAATTGCTTTGCCGATTTGGGACATTTTAGAGTGATTTTGGGGGTTATGGAGGATGTGAAATCACTTTCTGACACTTTCAGGATAAAATAATTGGCTAACAGAAAGTGAATTGATTAATTTTGAGTTACATTTGAACGTTTTAGGGGACTCATAACTGCTATCACTCCAACATTTTCCAAATCGGCCAATCAATTTTTTTAGCTAGTGTCTGTATATGCTAATTGATGCAACTTATGCTAATTGGGCAAATTGCTCAACATATCAAGTTAGCATCCGGCAGTTTCTATATGCTGGGGACCCGTACTGTACATTTCTAACATAAAACTTCGGGGTACTCAACATCTCAGGGTTCACACCTGTGTTTTTAGTTTTTAAATGAGCTAAGTACTACATTATTTCTTTCTGTGTTGTAATGACCACAGGTGTAGTTCAAAGAGGTGTAGCCGTCAGCTGTCCTGATATCAATGGGGAGATCGTTCCACCATTTAGGCGCCAGGATAATGAACAGGCGTGTTTTAAAGGAGGTAGAATGTAGAATGAAATGCATGTTCCTCCAATGAAAATGAAAACAAGAGTAGCCTGACTGTGCCCATTTCTCACTAGGACAAGGACACAGTGCCAGAGACAGAAAGTAGTCTAAACAGAATACTCCTGTACAGTGTGATGTCTGCTGGCTAACCTCGAGTGTGAGAACCTAAATAAATATATTAATGTGTGGCATTTATGGGTCCATGAAGTGATTTGCATCCAACATTGTAGCAACTTTATAAAACACTGTATTCAGGGTCTTGCAGTGATGATTTTAAGCCCAAGTTAGTGTTGCAAGGGTTTCCTTGACCAAAAAGCACTATTTTTTATGCAGAATATTGCAGAAAGAAAGATCTGTGGCTAACACATGTTTATATATACTTGCACATATTGTTCGGCTGGATCATTTCCACATATTAACAACACTTTGTGATTTCTTAAGTGTTCAAAACATTAGGCTTTAGTGGAACTACATCACGGTGGCATGGCTGCGCATCACCACTGCTTAGCAAAATGTGGCTAACCACAAACATGTTCAAAGACCAATGACTTCAGAAGAAGGAACTGGAAGTTTTGATATTCTAACTAATTTCAAGGGTTTAGGACTCATTCCGGCAATAGTCTATAGTGATATCAATTTTAACTAGGTGATCCAATATGATATCTAGTCAAATGTAAATATCACATCAGTATTGATACAGAAATGGGGGAAAGCCATGCATCATGCTCTGCAGGAAAGAATAACTCAGGATGACACCAACCTCCTTTTCTAATGTTCTCTCAGGAGCTTTGCTCTCCTCTTCTTCCTCCTCTTCCTCCTCCTCTTCTTCCTCTTCATCATCATCCCCTTCTAGATTGTCGCCTCCTGCTTCGACTTCATCTTCATCCTCCTCTTCCTCCTCTTCCTCGTCCTCAGCCTCTTCGGTTGCTTTTGAGAGAGTAACAAGATGACAGTAAGAACACAGAAATACGACTGTAGAACAGGGCAGTAAAAGAACGACGCTGTGTGACGTCCTGTGTGTGACGAGGACGTCCTGTGTGTGACGTCCTGTGTGTGTGACGAGGACGTCCTGTGTGTGTGACGAGGACGTCCTGTGTGTGTGACGAGGACGTCCTGTGTGTGTGACGAGGACGTCCTGTGTGTGACGAGGACGTCCTGTGTGTGAGGTCCTGTGTGTGTGACGAGGACGTCCTGTGTGCGACGTCCTGTGTGTGACGAGGATGTCCTGTGTGTGACGAGGACGTCCTGTGTGTGACGAGCATCTCCTGTGTGACGAGGACGTCCTGTGTGACGTCCTGTGTGTGACGAGGACGTCCTGTGTGTGACGAGGACGTCCTGTGTGACGTCCTGTGTGTGACGAGGACGTCCTGTGTGTGACGAGGACGTCCTGTGTGTGACGAGGACGTCCTGTGTGTGACGAGGACGTCCTGTGTGTGATGTCCTGTGTGTGACGAGGACGTCCTGTGTGTGACGAGGACGTCCTGTGTGTGACGAGGACGTCCTGTGTGTGATGTCCTGTGTGTGACGAGGACGTCCTGTGTGTGACGAGGACGTCCTGTGTGTGACGAGGACGTCCTGTGTGTGGCGAGGACGTCCTGTGTGTGACGTCCTGTGTGTGACGAGGACGTCCTGTGTGTGACGAGGACGTCCTGTGTGTGATGTACTGTGTGTGACGAGGACGTCCTGTGTGTGACGAGCATCTCCTGTGTGACGAGGACGTCCTGTGTGTGACGTCCTGTGTGTGACGAGGACGTCCTGTGTGTGACGAGGACGTCCCCTGTGTGTGACGAGGACGTCCTGTGTGTGACGAGGACGTCCTGTGTGTGATGTCCTGTGTGTGACGAGGACGTCCTGTGTGTGACGAGGACGTCCTGTGTGTGACGAGGACGTCCTGTGTGTGATGTTCTGTGTGTGAGACGTCCTGTGTGTGGCGAGGACGTCCTGTGTGTGACGTCCTGTGTGTGACGAGGACGTCCTGTGTGTGACGAGGACGTCCTGTGTGTGATGTCCTGTGTGTGACGAGGACGTCCTGTGTGTGACGAGGACGTCCTGTGTGTGATGTCCTGTGTGTGAGACGTCCTGTGTGTGGCGAGGACGTCCTGTGTGTGACGTCCTGTGTGTGACGAGGACGTCCTGTGTGTGACGAGGACGTCCTGTGTGTGACGTCCTGTGTGTGACGAGGACGTCCTGTGTGTGACGTCCTGTGAGTGACGTCATATGTGTGACGTCCAGTGTGTGACCCTCTGACCTGCAGCTGCTGCTCCTTCTGTTCCCTCGGCTGCTTTGTCTTCATCGGCTGCTGTATCCTCCTCTTCGTCGTCCTCCTCCTCTTCCTCTATATCAGCTCGGGGAGGATCCACCTTCTTGTACACGTATTCGTCGTCTGATTTCTGTGACGCGAACAGGAGATGGTATCACAGTCGGGGTTAAGGTAAGTCTAATTATATAGCACATTTCAGACAGAAAAGGCAATCCAATATGATTTCATAAGCATGAACACACAACAAGAGTATTAACAAAACAAGAAAAGAAAAGATAGAAGGTAGTTAAAAAAAAAACATTGTAAAATACAGTTGTTGCAGAGTGCTAACAAAATATTGTTAAAGATTGGCCCTATTATGCTTTTTGGGTTTTGCCTTTCCTGTAGTGTGTTCTATAGGTTTTTGTGCATGTCAATGGTCTGCAAAGGATAAAATCCCTGTGTTCCCTCCAGAGGGAGTTTCTCTTAAAGCATGTAAACATGTCACAGTAGAGGCGTAAAGTACAAATATGATACCTTAGAATTATCTTAAATGTGTCCTCTTTAAATATTCTCTGGAAAAGCATTGGTAAATAAAAAGGTTTTTGGCCTTGATTTAAAAAAACTCAGGGTTGAGACAGACCTCAGGTCTTCTGGAAGTTATTAAGGATCTGCAGAGCAAAAAAGCTAAAATCTGCTTCTACGTGTTTTGTTCTGACCGTGGGAACGAATAATCCAAGAGCTCCGTTTAGCTTGTAACAAAGCAGCATGTCAGACATGTATTCCCAAACCATTGGGCGCTTTGTATCTGAACAATAGAATGTTGAAGTTATTTCTTTGAGATGATGGAAGCCAGAGCAGAGCTCTGATAAAGGGGGTGATGTGTTCTCCTATTTTTGTTGAAGACAGGTCTCGGGCTGCAGCGTTCTGTTGGATGGTGTGTTTGTGTGCAGGATCAGAAACATGCCCTTCATACATGTTCAGCACCAGGTTCCTCACTGTACCTTTGGCCAGCAGAAGAGCACAGCCAGTCCTATCGGCAGGCCGACCGTCAGGATGTAGATCACCCAGAGCCACGGCCGCTCCTCTGCTGCGATCGTCAGCTGAGCGAAGATCCCCGGCTGGTGAGATTGAAGGGCGAAGGAGGACAAGAGATCAGAGAGAAAGTAGTGAGCCTATGACAGAAACTGACAGGCCTGTGCTAAAGTATATGCACAGAGAAGGGCTGCACAATTAAAGACATTTTTATCTTAACCTTGATTTTTGGTTCCTACAATTAAATGAACATGAGCAGCGAGAAAAGCATATTATTTTTGCTGTGTTAACGTATACCTACACCCAATTTGTTAATGATTAGTTTGGTTTACAAGAGCACAACATACTCCAACTCTAGCATTTTACTCTAAGTACATCAGATTGGTGAATTAGTTTTTAAGATGTAGCCTACAACATTTAGGTTAATATTCTTCTTTTTTATAATACATACAGCAGACATGTAATATCAGAAATTATTTTTATTTCGTGCAACCCTAATTTGTAAATTAGGATTGTAGCTAGCGCTGCACAATTGATCGCGATTTTATCGATGCAATATTCAAATTGCAGAAAGCACAATAATTGTTAGAGGCAAAATATGTGTAAAAAATACTAGTCTGAAGAAATGGCAGCCTGATAATTGTATTCTAGAGACGTCATATGGTGCAAATCCACATTATTGCGGTATACATGGTGTTTATAGCATTATCAACACATCATCATTATTTTTTATATATTTTTTAAGTCAAGTATGATGGTGCAGTAATGATCATTTCCTCCAATATTGTAAATCGGAATTTCAAAACTAGTCAAAATAATCTCACAATTATTTTCTCAAATTGTGCAGTCCTTATTGTAGCACAACATGGAAATGAAAAAAGTGCCCTGTTTATTTAAATGCAAAGTGCAATACAGACATTTTTATCGCTATAAATCTAATAATTGTGATAAAAAAAATTGCGATCTCAATATTGATCATCAAATAATGGTGATTATAATTTTGGCAATAATGGTGCAGACCTAGCGCAATGGGGTTATTCCCTATCTTTATTCAAGAGTGTGGTCTTTAAATTTGAGAGCATAATTTATTGATTTCACATTCAGATTTTGTATTTCTTTCCCTCAAACCCTGTCCTCGCACTCAAACTGTATGCTTGCACTCAGATATATTGCTGCTTACACAGATTTCCCGTGTTCCAGCTTAAAACCTTCTCCTCGCACTCAGGCTGTTTCTGTGCACTCGTCAAATGTCTGCTCTCAGATTTCTGCTGTGCGTTTGGATTTTTTGTGCAACAACCCTGTCAAAATCCCTCAACCAATAGGAGGCCAGGTGTCCTTGCGGGTGCACAGCAGAAATCTGAGGGTAGACATTTGACGAGCGCACAGAAACAGCCTGAGTGCGAGGAGAAGGTTTTAAGCTGGAACACAGGAAATCTGTGCAAGCAGCAATATATCTGAGTGCAAGCGTACAGTTTGAGCAGAAGCAGAGCAAATCTAAGCGCAAGCAGGCACTATTTGAGTGCGAGGACAGGGTTTGAGGGAAAGAAATACAAAATCTGAATGTGAAATCAATAAATTATGCTCTCAAATTTAAAGACCACACTCTTGAATAAAGATAGGGAATAACCCCCATAAAAGTGACAATGTAAACGTTTGATCAGCTGTTCCTGTCTCCCTTTTAAGCGTCACACTGACCTCATTGGCGCTGGCCACCAGCTTCTTCAGCCCCCAGCTGTCCGAGGCCCAGCGGTCGGCCACCTCCTTGTGAGAGGTGATGATGAAGTTGTCGAAGTAGATATCTGAGGTCATGGACCACAGCTCCAGGCCCACGGCTTTGAAAGGAGTCATCCTGAACGGCTGCAGGTCCTCGAAATAGTCCGGGTTATCGATCTTACGCGGCTTCCAGACTCCCTTGAGAGAAGACAAAGGAGGCAGAGGAAACAGTTAGGGTGGTTTCAGCCGCAGCTGAACATCCAGCATCTCCAACAGGAAGGGTTTATAGGTGTGGCATCACAGGGAGCAGGGGTGGGAGATTTGATGAGTACAAAGCCAGGGTTTTTATAGGCCCATTTTATTTAGCTAATTAAGATCTGACAGCAGGGAGACGGCTGAAGAGACAGCATATTTTACATCTAAATGTGTGAATTAAAAGGGTTATTTCAAACAAACCAGAGTATGTGTGGTGTTCAAACATTCAAAACCCTAACCAAGACTCTTTTTAAGGGTTTGTTTTTGTTTCTCATGTTTTACCATAAGTTTAATTCAAGTTTATTTATATAGCCCAAAATCACAAATCATATTTGTCTCAGAGGGCTTCACAAGTCAACAAACACAATTGGCAATGTAAAACAATGTAAAAACAACAAACATATCTTACAAGATCAATGTGAAAATACCAATTTAAAAAAGGAGCATAACACAATGACACAAATACAGTTAGAGTACAATAATTAAAATTCCATAAAACGAAGGGTCCATGAGGATGTATAAAAGGGGGTTTAAAACCAGTCTTAACTGTACGCTGTACTAAAGAGGAAAGTCTTTAACCTATTCTTAAATGTGTGGACACTGTTTACAATGCAGTTATGGCTTAGTCCTAGTTTTTTTAAAGGGAACAACTTACATTTAATTTAGAATAGGGCTTCAAAACGAATGGAAGTTTGATCAAAATCGCGATATGGACTAGTGCGACATTCAAATCGGAGAAAGCTAAATATCAAAATCATTGAAAATATCTGAAAACATTTTTTGGACTGCAAAAAAAACGATGCAGTCCTTGGTTCAACCTAGATTTAGCTGAACTGCTTCACCTCAAGAACTCCACCTGGCACAGGGCTCGTCACTCAAAATCCCACGACGATTGGCTATCATTCAGGAACATTAGAAATAAGTCTATACAGACCATCCGCAAAGCCAAGGTTGATTACTTCCATAATCAATTTAACCTCTGTGGATCCAATCCAAGGACATTCTGGAAAACAGTGAAAGAGATGGAGAATAAACCCCCATCCTCTCATCTGCCTAACGGCCCGTCCACACGGCGGCGTGCGTTGAAGCTTCAACGCTTCTTCCCATTCACTTTTGAAGGTGCCGAACTGCATTGTGGTTCCGTCGCTTCGCTTTGCTCGCTTCAAAAGTTGAGAAAAGTTCAACTTTTGAAGCTTCGATGGAAGCGTTAGCCAATCAAATCATATGCCAGTACAAGCTCTAGCCAATCAAACCGAGTGCTTGTGTGTCCGGGGCGGGAGATTCATGTGATTGGTTGTTGGTCGAGTTTCAGACACGCCCGCCGGCAAGCTTCAACACACACTGCCGTGTGGACGCTGCCGTGTGGACGCTGCCGTGTGGACGCTGCCGTGTGGACGCTGCGTAACTCCCTCGTTAATGAGGATACAGTAGTCATCGGTAATAAGCGCATAGCAGAGCACTTTAACCAGCACTTTATTAAATGTGGGAACCTATTTGACTCTATAGCGCCTCCTAAGCCCCCCACCAACACTCTGCCACCCAGCCCCTCTTGCGCAGCCCCATGTCACAGCTTCTGCCTGCAGGAAGTTAGTGAGAACGATGTGCTGGAGGTCCTTAGTAAACTTGACCCCAACAAACCTGCAGGTCTTGATGGGCTAGACCCCTTATTTTTTAAAGTTGCAGCCACAATTATTGCAGAACCTATCTCCCACCTATGTAATCTGTCCATACAGACAGCAGTGCTACCTTCTGCCTGGAAGGCAGCCTCAGTGCGACCTTTGTTTAAAGGGGGAAACCAAGCTGACTAACTGCTATCGTCCAATATCCATTCTATCCTGTATAGCGAAAGTGTTAGAAAAGTTAGTTTGCAAAACAGCTAACATGGTTTCTGAAGGCTTACAACATACTATCTGACATGCAGTCTGGGTTCCGTGCAGGTCATGGGTGTGAGACGGCGACTCTTAAAGTCCTAAATTATATAATCAATGCCCTTGACTCCAGACAATACTGTGCTGCCATTTTCATCGATCTTGCCAAAGCCTTCGACACTGTAGATCACCAACTGCTTCTGGGAAAGCTTAGATGCATTGGTGTCACTAACTAATCGATAGCCTGGTTTGAAAACTACCTGTCCATGCGCACCCAGTGTGTAAAATCTGACAATCTGATGACACAGCCCCTATCCATCTCTAAAGGAGTACCACATGGCTCTATCCTAGCACCCATCCTATATATACATATATACATATATATATATATATATATACATATATACATATATATATATATATATATATACATATATACATATATATATATATATACATATATACATATATATATATATATATATATATATATATCATGGAGAAATCAGTGGGCTACTCCTCTATCCACTTATATGCCGATGACACGATTCTGTACACTGCTGGCCCTTCCCCAGATACTGTCCTGAAAACTCTACAGGATAGTTTTCAGAGAATCCAGTCACATCTCTCTGCCCTTGGCCTGGTCCTGAACACCACTAAAACCAAGATCATGTGGCTTGGCCGCAGTGGTGCCTCCCAAACTGGTACTATTGTGGCTGCCGATGGCCGGGACCTCGAAATGATTAAATCTTATAAATACCTAGGATTTTGGATTGACAGTAATCTGTCACAGAACATCTCTCCAAAATTCAGACCAAGGTTAAAGCTAGACTCAGCTTTCTATATCGCTCCTCATTCATTTCATCTGCTAAACTCTCTCTGGTCCAGATGACTGTCCTTCCTCTGTTTGACTACGGTGATACCATCTACCGCTCGGCGTGTAAAGGAGCTCTCGATCATTTAGTCTGTATCACTCCGCCACCCGCTTCGCCACCAATGCCCCCTACAGGAAACATCACTGATCTGTACTCTCTGGCAAACTGGCCGTCTCTTGAGACCAGGCGAAACATCCACTGGCTGATGTTTGTTTATAAAACACTCCTAGGCCTCACCCCCTTCTACCTCACAATTACTGCAACACCCGCTCAGCTACACACATCCTGCTAAAGATCCCCAAAGCCCATACATCCTTTGGCCGCTCCGCCTTTCAGTTTGCAGCAGCTGATAGCTGGAATATCATACAAAAAACCTTGAAGATGGAGACCTTTATCTCCCCCCGCTCCTTTAGGGACACCATTACAAACACCCTGGTACACACATGCAGCTGCTTCGCCTGATGCCTACTACCAATGTCTTGACCTCTCCTATAGTATGCATTGCCATGAAGGAATGAATGGATGAATTAATGAATGAATGAATGGTCTATATTATTTTAATGACTGATTGAACTCCAGCAGTATTATTTTAGATATGTTATATGTTTAACTGCTATGCCCGTCATAACTGCTCTGTGTCATTGTGTTGTCTCCTGAGTTCTGTAGTGCTCGGAGTCTGTCTTTTTATTTTCTTCCTCCCAACCCCCATCCCCTCAGGAAGCCTTTTGCCTCCTGTCAGGTCATCATTGAAAATAAGAATTTGTTCTTAATTGATTTTCCTGGCTAAATAAAGGTTCTACTACTACTACTAGGCAAGGCAAGTTTATTTATTTAATTAGTGCGAATGCTGTTTACAGCATCCTACTATAGTTCTTTGAATCTTTATTCCGAAGGGCCCATACCGAATATTTTCGGTACGAATACGTATACCGTTACACCCCCTAGTAGTCCGTTATTATAATACGTCCATGTAGTCCGCTGTATAGAAAACTGTAGTTTCCCCACAGCAGACGCACATTTATGACGTCTGCTGGCGCATCATAAATACGTTGTATAGTGAAAGTGCAGTCGGATTCTCAAAGCACCGCAGTCTCTTCTCCTAAATCCTTTTGAATTCTCCGATCCACTATTCCTTAACCCTGTGACGTTTCACACAGAGGTCAAGGAATAGACGATAGGGATAGACGATAGGAGCTGATTTTTGGACTATTTTACTGCAACCCTAGTTACCTGATAGTTGGGATTGTCCACCAGAGGGGCCTTCCACTTTCCTTTGTACTGAGGGTTGTTGATCGTGGGGCGCTTCCACTCCCCGCAGCCGGGGGCCGTCTCGCAGGCCGGGTTGGGAATCTGAGGGGCTTCCCACTGCCCGTCCATCTCCTCGTCCCTGCACACAGAGAGGAGAGCTCCATCATTCCCTCACTGGAACATCATTGAAGAACTTGTTATGGGTGTGTTTGGTGAATCAGTTCACTTACCAGTCTTCTGGTTTTTCTGCGATAGGGTCGGGGACAAACTCTGGTTCGTCCTCCAGCCAGCCCTCTGGCATCAAGGCTTCAGGGTCCTCAATCTTAGCAGGAGCTTCTTCATCCCTGAGACACACACACAGCCATGTTTGTTACTAATGACTAGGTAATAATAATAATAAATTCGATTTGTAAAGCACCTTTCATTGCTAACAGCAATCCCAAGGTGCTACAGGAGGCATAATAAAAAGAAACAAAAGAAACAAAAGTTTAATCAAAAGCTTTTTTTAAAAGAAAGGTTTTTAGGCCTTCCTTGAAGGCGTCAGTGGTCTGTGGAGTCCTCAGGTGGTCTGAATGTAATGGCCCCTACACACCAGGCCGATATCGGCCGTCTTGCGTTGTTTGGCGACAACGGGTTCCTTGTCGCCCAAAGTCAATATGGTGTGTCCCGAACCCTCGGCCGTGACACGCCTTATTTGGCCTTTCACAGTCGGACACAAGCTATCGGGCCAAGAAACCACTCTGATCAGCTGTTCAGCTAGCAAATGAGAAGCGAAACGGAAGTGAGGGACGTAAACAAACGATTTAAGGCACAGGACAGCAGCTAAACACCAGCAGGTGATACTTAAAGACATCAAACATAGCCCTTAAATGTTCTCTCTTACCTCCCACACATGGGACATCTCTGATATCGGCGGGAGCGTCCCCGGCTGTCCTCTGCTCAGAGCTCCGTGATTTGTTTGGTCAAGTACGGTTTATCATCTCATCGTAAATTTAGCAAGAAGTGGCCATTATTACATTGCTGACTCAATAAACTACACACCCGCCAGAACACTGCGATCATCAGATGCAGGTCTATTAACTGTGATTTTATAGTATGTCTGCACTTTATGTGCTCATTTCATCATTCATGTATTTTTATATTCTAAAACATGTTTTCGATGGACGAGAGTGAAAATGGAACGGCACCCGCTATTTGTTTGTATATCAGTCTGTTCTTCTTCTCTGTCTTCCGGTTGTTGCCTATTTTGAATGACGAATACACACTACCGCCGCCTGCTGGTAAGGAGAGTTATTGCCACTCACGCATGCGCAGTTCGTACGTGCTCGGCTGAAGTCTTTGCGGTGTGTTCCAGTGCGACACACGGCCAAGACGCAGGAGAACTCGTCGATGGAACTGTCGGTGTCGGCGAGTTCTCTGGTGACTGCCTGGTGTGTCAGGGCCTTAAGGGGCTTGAGGCCCTAACATTCAACCCTCTGAACCCCAAACTGTTTCTGTTTTATTTGCTCCTTCACATTTAATCAGTTGTTATCATTGCAGTAAAACAGCACAATCTTTGCTAGAAATACAAGTGACATCAAACATGTATTTTGTGTAAAATAACAGCTATGAAGCGATAAATCATTATAAAACTGAAAAAAGCTGAAAAGTTTACTTTTTTAATAATACATTTTACAACAATTCTATATAAACAAGTGGTTTCCAAGTCCCCCGAAGTGATGCCAATAAAAAAATAAAACACATATGCTACTATTTACATTTTTACAACCTTAACTTAAAGTGGACCTATCGTGCTATATTTGAACAATATATTGTAGGGCCATACCTATATAAAGTATATAAATATAGGTTTTTTTTCAAAATACCAAACAGATCCTGCATTTTAGCCATGCCTCATTTCGAGGGGGACAAAAAGAGATCTCCGTCCTCCGTGTTTTATTATGCGCGCCCACATCCGTTTCCGGGTCGCTGCCGGAGGACCTGGGACTCCGGGACGCAAACATTTGACAAACGGCTCATTTCGGCGGACTGGCGCGCGTCCACTGGACGCCGGGACGACCGGCCACACTCCCCTACAGGCGCTCGGATGCGAAGGCCCGCCCACAACTGCGTGCACGTCTGTGACCGCAGTTTTAATTATATTATTATATAGAGTCGTTATTCATTTGTTTTAAAGCTCAATAAATAACAAAGAAGACCTTTGACCGGCACTTTTCTAATTTTGTCTGGAAGATTTCAACTTTAACGGACATCTTGACCGGCGAAAAAAAACCTAACTGAAACTCTGCCGCACGGTCCCCTCGTTCCTTGGAAGAGGCGGAGAGGTGGGTGTTTGTCATCTGCTGGTGGACTAACTAACGAATTACAGTGCTTGCCTCGACGGGGAGGGATTGCATTGAATTACAGCAGCAGGAGCAAACGCTTGCCTCGGGGAGGGAGAAAAAGAGCCACAGCGGAGAATAAACAGAAGGGCAACCATGGCAACCATGCACGGGAAGTCTTCTTTGCTGCTTTTGTGGCAGACTACAGCGCCACTTACAGGCCTGGCATATGTACTACAGCGTCTCCAGCGCTTTCGAGCGGCAATGGCCGGCCGTGGCCCAACCCCACATTCCCCTGATAGGTGGAGAGTTGGCCCAATAGCCGTAGCGCCACCGTCCTGACGTCAGGACAGTGTTCAAATCTGGATCAGTTTTTATCAGATCCGTTGCAGCCCCGTTTTTAGAGATTTGGGCAGTGCTTGAATTGGAATAAAAAAGGTGCCAGTACTCAAAATCAGCAACTGTTTCAAGTACATTTATTTATACAGCCCAAAGACAAGTATTTGGCTCAAAGTCATAGTATATCCTATAATGCTGGTGGGTTTGTCTCTTTACTGTATATTTTAGAAAGGCTCACTGTACTTAAACAAAATGACTCAGGGTGCATCTGAGATTAGAGGGGGTGCAGGGGTAAAGTGCTATTTTTATAAGTGGGGAGTGGACCTGACACCCTAGGGGGGTCCGGGGGCATGCCCCCCCGGGAAGATTTTTTTTTTAAATATTGAAGTTAAATGCATCAATCTGGTGCACTTTGAGAGCAAAATGAAGAGATACATGGATACCTCTCAACATCCATATGAAACAGAACTGTAAACAGATTTACTTTTTCTTTATGGATATAAAAGAAAGTAAAGCCTGACTCCTACTGGCGGCTGGTTAAATGACTCCTCGTCCCTGAGTACACTCATCTTTCAGCAGGAAAGGAGAGAGGGAATCAATGAGCTGCCAGGGAGCACACAGGGGAATCCAGACGGTGGTTTATGGGATGCAGAACTTGGAGCAGGAGGCTCGAGAAGGCTCCCCGTCAGACACAATTTCTAACACAGGCACAGCATTTTCTGTATTTGCAGTCGGCTCCTTGTCCGGCGACAACCGCTGTCTTTTCGGCGGCCGGCGGCATCTAGGTACGCTGGGCATATTTGTTGTCATGCGTCATGACGTGCCGCCGGCGGCTGGGTACCGGCATCTTACTGAGTACCGGCACCGTGCCGGTACTCAGTAAGAAGTGCCGGTACCACATGGGTAAAAATCAGATGTGCCGGTACTGCGTACCGGTGAGTACCGGCCCAATTCAAGCACTGGATTTGGGTATGGAGGAAAATAGAGAGGGTTGTGTTTTCTGACACTTGGTGAGTTCCCTGGAACACCGGGGACACATATTCATGTATAAAAAGACGTACAAAAGTGCATTTTCCATGATAGGTCCCCTTTAAAACCTCTTTTGTCATTCCTGTCTGCTCTGTGTAAACGGAGGAGCGCAGAATAACATATTTTTCACAGGATCTGGTTTATTTTGAAATTTAAATTGAGACATAAGGTCATTTTAAGATCGAAGCTTGGTAGAGAGGAGGACACTTAAACTGTTATCATGGATAACCCCATCCCCCTCTCCACCTGCAGCTGGACAGACAGCGGAGCTCCTTCTCCAACAGACTGCTGCAGATCGGTACAGGAAATAATTCCTGCCTAAGGCAATAACCCTGAACAACAACTCACCTCTGGCGGACAGAACTCACAGCCTTTTTGTTTGTTTAGGTTCTCCCTTTCTATAATCATGAACAATCTCAAGGGAGAAAACTCCCTCCAGAGGGAACTCTTGGATTTCAGCCTTTGCAGACCATTTACATACACAAAAACCTATACAACACACTACAGGAAAGGGAAAACCCTAAAAGCATAATAGTGTCCCTTTAAATATAGCAAATTTGTAATCTGTACTATTTACTGCTGCTGTAGTAGTACAGGGTTTGTACTCACCAGTCTTCTGGTTTGACGGCCTCAGGATCAGGCATCTTGGCCCTCTCGTCCCAGTCCTCGGGCTTGGAGTCAGATGGGTCATCGATCTCCTTGGGGGGGTTGACCGGAGGAATGACGTCATGCAGCAGGCTGCCGCGGCTCACGCTGGACTGGTCGATTAACATCTCGTAACTGTTGTCTGGTTTCAGGACTGAAAACGGGAAGAAAATGCTAAATGAATGTGTGAGCAAAATGACACATTTTATAAAAGCACAGAAAGGTATATAGATACATATTCTCCTTTGGAATTGTCTCTGTACCCAAAGTATAGAGGTGAGTCTTCTTGTCAGTGTAGAACTTCTTGAGGTCCACGTCGGCCCTCTTGGCGTGCTTCTCCTCCGTGTCTTTGTTCAGAGGGTTGAGGTGGCGGAAGATGAAGTGCAGCTTGTAGTCCTCACCACACTTGTCAGGTCCAAACATGAGGCTGTAGGCGGTACGGTCTTGGAACTGCTCCTACGGTGCAGAATTAAAACGGTAAATAGAGTTATTGTATTTAGTTCAAATCTGGACAGCCTTTACCAAGTTATATTACATGAACACAAGACAGAGTAGGAATGCTGCAAAGGTTTTGGTTTCCGTTTCAACCAATACTAAGAAAGATAACTTAAGTCTTTATTAATACACTTTATTTATGCTGTTGTGTTTAATTGTTTAGTAAAAATATGACTTAACAGGCAAGGCAACAACCTTTAATTTCTACGACAGAAATGGCACAGATTTCTTTAATCATCTGTGACATGGTTTTCTTTTACAAGAAAAAGATGAGGCTTGTATGTGTTGTATTTAACATTTTTCGAGACTAAATATTCTAAACAGGTTTTTTTTTTTACAACGCTAGAGTTCTTGTTCTTTTGCTGCGCTGCATATCAGGATTAATAATACAAAGTTTGCTTAATATAATGATTAGAAAATACTTTTTTTGTACTTTGAAAATCAGAATACCTTAATTAGTCCCACAGAGGGGACATTTCCATTTATACCGCAAAGTAAAAAGGCAACATTTTAAATAAAAGGCATGCATAAAATATAATACAGTATTTCAGTATTTAAAATAATAAATAAGTGTAGCTTGTAGGAGTAGTGTGATAGCAGCCAAATAACAGTAGTGAAATTAAAAGTATATGAAGATGCTGTTCAAACTTAAGTCAACCACAATCTGAATATAAGAAAAACAGGATTAGATGACTAAAAATATGATAAAAACCAACAAGTACATTTTCAGCTGCAAAAAAACCTTAGGCGTTACGAATGGAGCAAGGTAGAAATAAAGCATGCACACCAACCAGATTGAGATCGCTGGTGTCAGAGAGCAGTTTGATGTATGCGCCACCACAGTCAATACCATCCTGGAAATTCACCTCATACCTGGAAACAGAACACAACAAAACAATTTAACAAATACTTGATTTTAGTCATTCACTTATACATCCATCATGGAAAGGTCCTCTTGGTTAAAGAAACATTTTAGTGTTTGTCTAATTGAACTCACTGTACGACCAGAGTATCGTCCTGGAAGACAAAGGGTTTGTTCAGCATGGAGGAGATGGCGTGGTGTTTGGCCCGGGACTTGAGCACCAGACCTTTGTCTCCTGGAATCTTGTTCTCCTTCAGCTGCTCCACAGCCCACTTCCCTACAGCCGGAGAGGAGACAACCTTTTATTGCGTTGTTCCAAAAGACTCTGCTTGAGAAAGCTATGTGTAGCTAACAGAATATAGCCTTCGTATGGCATATCCAAGTGATATCACAACAAATAGGGTTAGTCCCTAAAAATGAAATAAAATGTGAAAAGTACAATGGCCATGTTAGTTAAAAAAATAGGGCGATATTATTCAAAAGAAAAAAATACGGATTTCACAAGATTATTATTCCTGGAGTGGAGGATTTATTTAAATTATACTTTATAAATCGGATTTTCAAATAATAAATACTCCTAACTTTAGAAAATTGTCACCATATTATCATAAGCATCCAGACTTTGAATACACATTATCGTGAATTTGGTCTATATAGAAACTACACCACAAGAAATTGATGATAGCTATCTCCATGTTCCATACTGTTGCAACTCTGTGAAGATGTTTCTTGACAAAAATACACAATTTTCAGAGTTTTTTTTCTTGTGAATTAGTGACTTTCATCATATAATATTTCAGGGTTTTTTTCTCGAATGTATCACTTTGTATGACTTTAAAATCTCAGTTGTTTATAGTCTCTGGTAAATTACAATTTATAATCTCAAAAATACAGAATTCTTTTGTTAAATACAACGGTAGCCCGCAGGTGCAAATGCGTGACAATGGCCCAATACTTTTCCATAAGGAGAAACGTGCTAAAAGTTAAAAAAAAATGATACAAATAAAATGGACAATTGGCCAACTTTATAAACCCTGAATGCAACAAACACTCCGCTGTTTGCGTCACTTTTTAGTGTCCTCGTTTCTGTTGTGTTTTGAGCTTCTTGCAGCGTTTTTTATTTGCAGCATTTTGCGTAAACGCTGTTCATGTTTCATGAAGCTGGTGAATGTTTTCTAAATGCTGTGCATGTGTTGTGAAGTTGGTGAAGATGTTTCTTCATCTGCATGCGTTTTTAGATTTGTTTTTGAAAGTGCAGTGTGTTCTCCTAATGAAATTGTTTTGGGCCATTGTTGCACGTTTGCACCTGTTGGCCACTAATTATTATTTTCCCAACCTACAATGGCCCAATAGTGGGTTATATTAACCCTAATGCGTGTTAATATAGAAACAGAAAGTCGTGCCTCTTTAAAAACTCTCCTACGCACAATGTAGATTATTAAAAAAGGGCACACAAAAACCAACAAACCGTCATATTTGGCGATGTCATCCTCCGCATCCTCCTTCACTGTCTTTGACTGCTGCCATCTGTGAAGATCACGTCACAAAACTCTTAGCTTCCACACACACACAATGCTATGACTGATTGGGTACATTTATCCTGGTCGCTCACTACCATTGGAGGCTCATGTGTCCTAGCAGCATTCATTAAACATTTACGCTGTATCTTTAGCAGGTATTGTGGATGGACTGTACCTGTCCAGGGATCCATCATCAAACGTCTCTGCAAAGTAGACTTCTCCAGTGGGAACAGGAGTCTTGTAAGTTACCTGTGGCACAATATTGTAAATTAGAAGTTGTTATACGGAGATCTTTAACATACTTTAATTTCCCATCTGACCTTTACTTAACCTATGACCCATTACTGACCTGGAAGGAGACATTAGCATCCACTCCAGCCTTCCCACTGGCTGTCCCGTCTGTCTTATCAGCTTGATCTTCATCCATCACTGTCGCCTCATCGTCCTCCTCCTCCTCCATCTCCATCTCCATCTCCTCTTCCTCGTCCTCTCCTGCCAGCAGATCATTCAATTCCTCATTGTCCAACCCCATATCTTCATCGATGTCCGAAACATCAAGCTCCAACTGCTTCTCCTGGGCTGCCGCAGCTGCCCCAGCAAGGGAGAACAGGAGCAGCAGGCCCCATATCCAACCCCTGTCCAGCTTCATCTGTAGGGGGAGGGTAGAGAGAGGGGGGAGGTGAAAGCAGAAGGGTTAGTAGAGTGTGAGATAAGGCCGCCAGAGGAACACAGTGTGGTATGAGAGGATAAGGGAAAGGGAGGAGAAGAAGAGGCAGGTGTGAGATGTTATTTATGGAGAGTGACGGGGTGTGTGCGGGGGGGGGGGGGTGCATCAATGATATAAATAGCGAATGCATAAAAGGATAGAAGGAAAAACACAATGAGATTGAGGTCACATCAGTACACACTGGAGGCCTGTTTCCTCAGATTACACTTGTCTTGTGTTTTCTCTCCAAAAACTCTGCTAAATCATGAAGATAGGTGCCCTAAGGGAAGCGATAAAATGACGCAACCAACCAATTTCAATTCATTGTACATATTATTTCCCATACATTGATTCATTTGTGGCGGGCCTCCACAATTAAATATCGTCCGCCACAAATAGATCTCATAAAAAAATTAAATAATATAATTGTTTGCGGTGCCCCCACTAATAGAATCAAATTCTGTGGGAAACACTCAACATCTTTAATTCTCCTGATTTGTAACAGTAAATATATTAGATAATAATATTCGTGTGTATCCCAATATGCCTTTAGAACTAACCTTGCTGAATACTGGTACAATTCATACATCTGTTACACCAAACAGCAGCTTCAATGACCTATTGATCCAGTCACACCTGCTCACTCTTCTTGTTAGCAGAGTCATTTAAACGCATCAGTGCAGACAGCACAGCAGCACGCCTCCCTTCATTCCTAAATTGCTTTATTTCCCATACTGCTGTTCTTCTACTTTCTATCATCAGAGCGCATGGAGATCAAAATGACAAACATATAGGAGGAGAAGATGAACAGAAAACACAATTAAGAGCTATCTTTTCTTGAAAAGCAATAAAATGTTGCAGATTATTAGCATCTTTGGATATAAGGCAAACAACGCAACAGAGACATTTCTTGAGAGAAATCATGGCCACACCCCATGATGGAACATATTTTCTAATGTGAAAATATTCAAAAGCTAGCGCTATATATATATATATATATATATATATATATATATATATATATATATATATATATATATATATATATATATATATATATATATATATATTTAAAACAACAGGAGTATCTCTCGCACACACACAACATATTTCCTGCTTTAAATCAAAGTGTAGTATTTGTAATATATAAGGTCTCAATTTAGTTGTGGCCTAAGTCTAAAAAGGTATCTCGAAACAGGTTGCACTTTCTGCCAGGTCATCTTAAGCCAAATAATCTTTCTCTTTTAAAAAAGCAATGAGAGGATGGTCCAGATTTACAGATAGAAGGAAACAAGCCATGCAGAGAACCGGGAAACAGAAAAACAAGCAACACCATCCACTATTTGGATACACAGCTAAGCAATTCATTTCAAAACCATTTTTTGACCTATCCAACGCAACACCAATAAAGCAGCAGACAGTCATAATGTTTAAGTTAATGAAATGATAAAAGATGCAGTTACACATAGATAAAACGGTACTACCATACAACTGACAGACATGCAATGCATCATAGTATACGACATAGCTTTCGAACATCATACCAAATTGAAAAACAAGGATTAGTAGTATGCCATACACGTAACTGGCTTAATAGCTGTCTGCATGCCAGTAACCAAAAGCCACATCTATTTCTATTCTAAGCTTCAGTTCTCTTATTTAACAGTCATAGTCCAATGACCCATTAACAGCCTTTGCCTCACGTTTAAGAGAGCCAACAAGGGCTTTCATTAATTTTTGTTAAATATGTAAGAGAAGCTTATCACTGAACACGTCTAGGAACGACAGAGAAAAGGTCATGGGACAGGGTTGTGGAGCTAACATGGCTGCCACCGAACACGGCGATGTCCAAACTCTTTTTAGATGAACGGCTCTGGCTGCAGCACCTGCTCCGCTAGCTAGCTATGCTAACGGAAAAGCAAACGTAAGCATAACATAAGCTTAGATAGTAAAGTAATGGGCTTAAACAAACGGAGGCCTGTAATTAAACATGCCATGGCGTTAAAAAAACTAAAAGGGCAAATAATATAAAGTAAAGGGTAGCGGAAAATGTCTTGCTACACTGCAGAAATGAGTGGAGAGCAACGGTTAGCATGCTACATTGGCAGTGGTGGTGTCGCACAGGGGGAGGGATGGAGAGAATGAATGAGCACACAAACAAACCTTGCGCCTTCTTGTTAATTGCAGAGAAAATGTCCCGATAAAAGCTTTTTCTCTTCTTAGGAAAACAGAGGAGGTATGCTCTCCGTTTGGCCCGCTGAGAAAATCACCGAGGCCCGCCGTGTGTGGTTTGAGAAAGCCCGGTTTTCGGCTGGGGAAGATGGGATCTGGGATCTGGGATCTAGATGACAGTTTGGCCCAGATAACGGTGCGCGGTTGACGAGTGCATGAGCGAGTCCCTGCAAATCGGAACTACGCATGCGCATATGTGCAGATGGGGGAGCGTGAGTGGTGCCTTCACGTGCCGCCGACAGTTGTAATAAATACAATTGGCCAAGAAAAGACCGATGAGGTGTAACCGGGTGTAACTAATGTGAATGTAGAATAATTTTGGTTTAATTTAGCTATTCTTCTGCATGATTGAAAATATTACATCAGCTATTGAAATTATTACAATAATTAATGAATGTAGGTAAGTATTTTTGATATTATCACATTTAACCAATGTGCACGACGTTCAGGTCAAAATGGCAAATACTACAATACTCACAAGACCACCATGGCAACAGGGTCAATTATGGCACAAACTAGTAATTAAGATACGCATTTATATTTTAAAATGTCAGCATTAATTCACGCAAATTACTTGCCGTAATATTTTACTTTCTTCAAAGCCCCAAACGACGAGTTTTACAAGAAGCACTTTAAGCCATCATGAATGTCTCTGCAGTTGCATTTCAAAGTAAAAGCATACTATTTACATATACTTTATTGTTCTTAAAATGTTCCGTGGGTATAATGCCAATGAATACCTGGGCCTTTACAATAGTTAAGCACAAATAGTCAAGCATAATTTACATTTCACAATCATTGTTAACAAGTGAATAAAAGAAACGTATTAACCCCCAATTTTACTGTGGCATGTACTATGAACTTCCGGGGTAGAGTTCAGAAAATATAGATGGTGGCCACATGCGTGTGGCTGTGCAGTTGTGAAGTAAATAAGTGAAATAAAACTGCAACTACTCAACACCTGCAAAATGAAGGACACACCGCTGTCTAACTGTGAGCGGGATTTCCTGCTCAAAGCCATCGAGGAGAAAAAGGTGAGCTGGTGGCTGAACATTGCGCAGTGACTTACAAAACTAACACCGAAAATGATGAACTACAAAAGGGAAAAAAATACAGATCCAGTATAAAAAGCCTTTAATCTTAAAAATAACATGTTTTAATCTTCATCAGGGTAATTGTTTAATTCATATGTTATTATTGTTGTAATTATTGATGCATTGATGTGTTTTTTACTGTTGCAGCCAGGAAAGGAGAAGCTACTTTTCTTTATACCTTGGTTATATTTACTAGTGACGTTTTATTCATAGAGCATCTTTGGATATACTGCCTAGTAGCTTGTGGAATTAAAGAAGGGATCGAATAAGTTTATCTTAACCTATACATAATAAATGATTTGTTGATTATACATGTGTGTTATTAGCCTCTGAATTGCAGGTGAGTATAATTATAAAGTAGTAAGAAATGGAAAGACTCAAGCAAAGTACCTTCCAATCGTATTGAAATACAGTACTTAAGTAAATGTACTTAGTTACTTTCCACTATTGGTCTCCAGTTTTGGCAATCTAAAGGTTTCAGTGAGTTGTTCCTGTATATCTGCTTTGAGGGAAATGGTGTCCCATATTACGCCTCTGTCCTCTCCCTGCAGCGCCTGGATGGACGACAGACCTACGACTACAGAAAGATGAAGATCACGTTTGGGACTGACTATGGGTGCTGCTTTGTGGATCTCGGAAAAACCAGGTTAAACTTTGGCCTGTTATGTGTACTGTGATTTTATACCTAGTCACGCCTATGGGGTGAACAATGTTTATCTTCAAGACTGTGATGTACTGAACACTTCCCAAGCAATTCACCCACATTCACATGGATTTTTGTATTTATTTACTCAGTAAATGGAGTTATCTTAACACTTAGAATATCAATGTTCTTCCCTCTTTAGGGTCATGGCACAGGTGTCAGGTGAGCTGGTGGCTCCTAAAGAGAATCGACCAAACGAGGGAATCATGTTCTTCAACATCGAGCTGTCACCCATGGCCTCACCAGCATTTGAACAAGGCAGGTAAGAAAAGACAAAAATATATTACTTTTATATATATATATATCAAACTATACCAGACACTTCCTGTGAGATTCTATTTGACAATAGGGAGTTGACATATTATTACATATTATACTAAGACTGTGTCTGAAATATGCTTAATTTTAGTCCAACTTGTTTGTGAAGAAAGTGTAAATCGTCTATGGGCTTTTCTCTGTCTCCAGACAGTCAGAGTTGTCAGTGAAGCTTAACAGACAGCTGGAGAGATGCTTGAGGAACTCCAAGTGCATTGATACTGAGTCCCTGTGTGTGGTGTCTGGAGAAAAGGTAAAACACACACACACACGCACGCGCGCGCGCACACACACACACACACACACACACACACACACACACACACACACACACACACACACACACACACACACACACACACACACACACACACACACACACACACACACACACAGACACACAGGTAGAGGGGAAAAAAATCACCTTATTCATTGACATAATGATGATGGCGATGTGTGTGTTCAGGTGTGGCAGATCAGAGTGGACGTTCACATGTTGAATCACGACGGGAACCTGATGGACGCGGCCAGCATCGCTGCCATCACCGCTCTGTGCCACTTCAAGCGTCCTGACGTCGGCATCCAGGGAGATGAAGTCACTGTGGTGAGTCAGCAAAAAACAGCAGGTGGTGACTCCGCTTTTCTGAATCTGCAGGGACAAATCCGGCTTAGTTATTTGAATTTCTTTAATGATACTCACTGCAGATATAGAGTGGGAACTTTCCTGCTCTACTTCAAATCACCACCGGTCAATCATTAATACTGTTTTAATTCAATAGCACCAGGTCTTTTTATTGTCAAAACCAAAATATTTAATCTTGCCTGTCCTTTGTTTCCATGACTAAAAAATGTGAAAAAGCTCCAACGCCATTTAACGCTATCTGTGATGATATCAACATGAAATATTGACGACAAATAGAGTACAAAAAGAACGTTGCAAAGTCCTAAACTGTTTTTTCTAAATGCAGCAGGGATATTGTGGCTAAACTGAATCAACAGAAAAGTTCAATATAATCTAATGTCTAAAGAGACTGAAATTTCAACAGTAATACATTGACTAAAACAAAAGTACTAACGGTTTTCTTTGATCAAGATGAGACTGAAATGGACAGAATTTTTGTCAAAAACTTTACAAACAGGATGAGGTTGACAAAATAAGAACATATGACATGGGACAAAGGCTAAAATGAACACCTGACATCCTACTTGAACCACAGTTTTTTTGGAGCTCATTTCCAAACGGTCTTAACTAGCTTTGTGTAGGTTGTAATTCTGCATTTCTTCATGTGCTCCCTCAGTACAGTCCAGAAGAGAGGGACCCCATTCCTCTGAGTATCTACCACATGCCCATCAGCGTCAGCTTCTCCTTCTTCCAACAAGGGTAAGGCACCGAATATGAATTCAGGACAGAATACACTTATTGATCAAGTACCAACGTTCTGTGATCTTCATTTGAGGGGCGCCCTATTACGGCCCGTCCACACAGCAGCGTTACAAAATCTTGGAACGCTTCTGCCCATTCACTTTGAATGGGGTGACGTCACTTTGCCTCACTTTTCGCCGAACTGCATTGTGGGCAGCAGAGCGGAGATTTTCAGGATTTTCAGGATTCAAAGTTGAGCAATGTTCAACTTTTGAGGCTGAGGTGGAAGCGTCAGCCAATCAAATCCCGTGTATGCAAATCTGACAGTTCAAGCGCTAGCCAATCAAACCGCGTGTATGCTGGGAGAGACATACCGCAGGTAATTTCCTCATATTCCAAAAAAAGGAGGAGAAATTAGCGGTAGGGAATCACCCGGTGCTTTATGACCAGTCCCTATTTACCTACCGGGATACAAACCGGAGGAGCCAGGCATGGAGGGAGGTGGCAGAGACAGTGGTATGGTTTCGCCTGTTTGGGGAGTTTATATCCAGTTTACTTCGGGCTGTTTTGCTTCGTATGTCGGGGGCGCGAGATTCATGTGATTGGTTGTTGGTGCCTTGCTCGCATTAAATCCCCAAGCTTCAGATACGCCCAACTCCAAGATTTTTTTAACGCTGCTGTGTGGACGGGCCGTTAAGGTCAATTGCATGCTCAATATAGTTAGCCTAGCCTCATTGATGTATATTAGGTGGACAAAATAATAGAATCACCGGTTAGTGTTACAATATCTCTAAGATCCCCATTCATCAATTCCTGCTCAAATGAAGCTTAAGGAAACACAACCTTTCTGAACTTCAGTTCATTTAAATGTCACTGCCAGACTCCTCACTAATTCTAAAAATTAAAAGTGCACATTGCATTTGCATTGGCTTATGCGTTTCATTTTTTTGATGTTTGTATTTGCTCTTACTGAATGAACGTCATAATTCCTATTTGTAAAATACTATTATTTTGTTGTTTGATTTTGACTGTTTATCAGACAGCATTAGTTTACAATTCACAAAGAACTGAGTGTGTAGAACAAAAAACAATAATAATAATTATGAATGCAAACGTCTCACCAGTCCTTGAAGAACTTCATCCTTCCTCATGCCGAGCTTTCTTCTTCTCTACTTCCTGTTTGCTGTGCAGAACCTACCTGCTGGTGGACCCCTGTGAACGGGAGGAGCGGGTGATGGACGGCCTGCTGATGATCGCCATGAACAAACACAGAGAAATCTGCTCCATCCAGTCCAGCGGGGGCATCATGCTGCTTAAAGAGCAGGTGAGGAGACACCACTCCACAGCTGTCTTTTAGTTTTGCATCAGTCACCGTAGAACTTCATATTTCCCATGAGGAAAATCCAAAGACTTTAACACCAAATTATTTCGACTGTGTTTAAGGTTATGAGATGCAGTAAAATAGCCAGCGTAAAGGTGTCTGAAATCACAGAACTCATCAGCAAAGCCCTGGAAAACGACAAGAGAGCAAGGTGAGCATCACTTCATTGTTAAACAGTATTTCAACTTCTGCTGTTAAAATACATAAACACTCAAATAAACAAATAATTTCACATTTCACAGAAAAGCAGGCGGGAGGTGTGGTTTTGCGGAGTCAATGCCACAGGAGCGAATCACAGCTCTTAAAACGGACGAGACCTCGGTGGAGATGACTGATGCGTCAGAAAGAGCCAATGACATCGTCGAGAATGCCGAGGTCCCGCCTCAAACGTATCCTTTAACAGTATCTACAAAGAAAATGTGTCTTTGTACCTTTGCATTATTATATCCACTGCGGCTCCTTAACCAAACATATCAGGGTGCCTTCCCCAGTGGTGCCTGCGCCAGGGGTGGGGCAGGTGGGGCAGGGCCTGCAGAACACCTGGGGACTGGAAGAGGAGGAGGATGGTGATGAAGAGGAGGAAGAACAACAAATGGAAGAGGAACAGGATGAAAAGGAAGACAGTAGAGAAGGTTATTACACATGCATGCAAATTAGTCGCTTTTCGGCGCCTCCCGCTTTTTTAACGCTGATTTGGGTGACTTGTGTAATTCGTGGAGAACCGAAGAGTTTTCGTTTTGGGGGGGGGGGGGGGTCCGACTCACGGACTGACGGACAACTTCTCACTTCAAAAATGTTTTAAGAAATCTAGACCGCAAAAGAATTAAACAAGCGAGTGCCTGTTTTTCCTGGCCAAGAACAGGTTCCTTGAACACAACACGAGCGTAACGTGTCATCACGTGGTGTAGTGCTGACGGAGAGCACCGGAACGCCGCTCCAGCACTTCAAATATTGCAGTACCCATAAGGAGCCGTACACATGCCGCAGTTTTTGCATGGCTGTGTCTTTAGTTGAAAGCCCAGTGGCGATCTGTTGTTATTAGCATCTGGTTAGCTAGCTATGCTAACGAATATAAAGAGCATTTTCTACAACCAGGTAGAAGAGAGCCCTCTCCTGACAGACTGAGAGGCTCAAATAACCTCAGCTCAGTGAGGTTAAGGCACATCTTGATATGATCATTATAGTTATAAAAAAATAAGAAATGAAAAACAGGTATAAAATACTTTATGACAGTAACAAAAAAGTTGTTAAAAATAACAAGAATACAGTTTAAAAGGAGAGTGATTTGTAAAATAACCATAAAGAAAAAGAAAAAATCTGCTTACAGTTCTGCTTCATATGGGTGTTGAGAGATGTATCCATATCTCTTAATTTGGCTCTCGAAGTGCACCAGATTGATGCTTTTAACTTCAACATTTAAAAAAAAATCTTCCCGGGGGAGCTTGCCCCCGGACCCCCCTAGAGGATGTGATGTCCCCCCCCACTTAAATGATGTCCACATGGATAGGATACTAAATACATTTGCACACATCTTGTGTCCATATCTTTAGTGGTCATGCCACAACCGTGCACGTGCATGCATGCACGAGTCATGGTAAGATATCTGGATTAAGAGGTTGCTTTTTCTTTGCACAGCATGAAAGAAAGGCGAAAAGAATTTGCTGTGATTTTAGTTTTTTTAAGCAGAGGTTGAGTTCAAGAATTTGTACGGCCCTCGGAGGTTTTGTAAAAATTGAAAGGAAAAAGGTTCCCCACCCCTGGTGTAAATAATAATAAAAACCCTTGATTTATAACTTAACATCTCTGTCTCCTATTGATCTGAGTATATTATAAAGAATAGCCAGTTAATTGAAGCGCAGGCCTTTGTCAGATGGTATATTACGCTGTTTTTTTTCTGCTTCGAATAGTTCTCTTTTTTCACCATACGTGTGTTTGCATCCCTGATTACAGTTTTTGTTTTATCATAATGTCAAGTTATATCGTTACAATTTCTGTTTTTGAACAGACAACAACTTGAACAATTGGTACTTTGTTTTCAATTACAGGAGATGTGGTTGAGATATCTGACAGTGAAGAGGAGGAAGTGGTCATACTTCATCCAGAAACACAGGACAAATCTAAGTAGGTGCACCAGTTTTCTTTTCTAAATATAGGAATTTAGTTAAAGGGCCCTACTATGCTAATGTTCAGGTTTCATAATTAAAAAGCCAGCTCTGGTCTGATTGGTCAGCTGCTTCGGGTGTCCCGCCCCTTAGACCAGGGGTTCCCAAAGTGGGAGACCCTGAGTGGGGGTCGCGAGATGATTACAACATTTTTAATTATTATTATTAATAATAACGTGTGCATAGACATTTTTCAGGGGCGGACTAACCATGTGTATAATTTCCCCGCAACGAGGCTCCCCCTTTGACAATCCACTAGCGCACTGTTTCTCAAACTTTTTCATACCAAGGACCACTTAACCAATAAAAAAACACTCACGGACCACCTAACTCCCCAAATATCCAAAAACAATAGGCCTGCTTACCACTCCAACAAATTATTATTATTATTATTATTATTACCATTATAACTAATTACAGCCTAATAATGACAGCTTAACCTTCTCTATATCGCCTCGTTCACACATTAAATCAACAATACAAATACAACTACAGATTATATGAGCATTTAGTTCAAATGCGATTTAAAATGCTCTCAGGTTTTACACCTCTTATGAAATATAGACTACATTTATTACGGAGTTTATGTCCAACAGACTCACAGATCGTTGGCTACTGAGAGAAATGCAAAGTACACCGCATAGTACGACAAAAACCTCCGCTGTGGATTTTCAAAACAAAATACAGTAAAACTATGGTCGCAGGCCCAAGTTTAACTCTCTGAAGCCTGCATGGTCTGCCTACAAAACAAAAATAAAAAACGTTTATGCAGCCCCAACAACAGCCTCTGATCATCAACAGACTTCATGCAATGCTTCATCGGATGCATTTTGTATGCATAGCATGGATAAATGTTCATAAAATACATCCATTGTTTGTTCTATATGCTTCTTGAAATCCAAAAAAACACATCGTTTTTCTAGAACAGATTACAAATCGCCTGAAAATGGTACAAACAAGTGGCAACATGTGTGACGAAGGTGTTGCGCTGGGCTATATCATGCAATCGAAAGTGAAACTTAAGCTCGCTCCATTGCGGAGATATTCCCGCGAGAGTGCGGAGAACTTAAATGAATCCCCCTTTAACAACTTAAGAAGGGTTGCCTAAATGGTTTAAAATGTACATCTTATTTCTTTTTTGCTCTCAGAAATGCAGCATCCAGTTCCAACCAGAAGGGGGCAGAAACGTCAAAACAAAGACAGAAAAAATGAAAGCAAGAACTCCTTGAACTGTATATAAGGCTCAGACACTGCACCATGCCTTCATAAGGAAGACCGAGGTCCTGGATAAGTAATTATAATGGCTGTGAATTGGGATCAAATAGATGCTACAGAAACACTTTGATTCTGTGATAGTTCAGTTCTTGTTTGTAGCCCTTTGAATGGATACAAAAAAACGTACTGCGCTTGTATAGAACATGTTTTACATTTTTTTTTTAAACAATAAAAATATGTAAAAGGTCTTTGATGATATTGAATTCAGAAAATTCTTCTCCCCACAGTTTGATGTTAAGCAACGATTTAAATTTGCAAACTGATGGATTTTGTAAGAAAAAAGACAACTGTGTTGTTCAATGTGAAACAAAATAAAAATGGAAATACATAAATATTTATTTTCCGTCAGTTATTTTAGTTTCAATATAACACATTTAACTGAAAATACTGTAAGTATGCTGATATGCATTTGTATGTGTTCATGGTGGGAAAAAAAGGTAGATGTGGCTAACATAATCCTCAGAGTACAGTATTAAACAATGTTCGATTACCGTTTTTTTCTTCTGTAAAACGCAATAGAGAACGTATAAAAGTAAAGTTTTCTTCTAATTTGGACCAGTTCAAAAGAAAACAGGTTCCACCGAGATTTGAGCTCAGATCGCTGGATTCAGAGTCCAGAGTGCTAACCATTACACCATGGAACTGCGTCCTCTCGCGGCTGTTTGACTTATTCAAATACTGTACAAAATATGAAATGGTATTGGTGAATGTTTGATGATGGGTTGTTTGCAACTGGTTTATATGATACATATGCACTTGTATTGCTGCTGAAATAAACCTACCTCATTAACATACAGAGATATACATATTCACATTCACAGTGTAAACTTTGGAGCATCAGGGGACTGTACCAGAAATACATTTTCTCCTCTAAAGGCCCTTAAGGTCCTTAAAGGTAGGGTAGGTAAGAATGGAGAAACCAGCTCGAGTGCGCTAGAATTTGAAAGTACGCAGCCGGAAAAAATATGCCCCTTCCTTCAGACTTCCTTACAGAGCCCCTCCTCCAACACACACGAACGCGCACATGACCAATGAGGGCAGATAAGTTTGTGCACGAGATGGAAGGCTGACAGGCAGGTAGGCCATCCAGTTATTTTAGCCGGGCCGGCTCAAATAATTGGTTGTGCTTTTTACAGCGCCATGGCTTCCACAGATGAATTTTTTTTATGTATTTCTTGTCAAAGCATTTAATGTATTCATTGCTATCGGGATGTTAAGAGCATTCCATGGAATATAACAAAAAGTGTTTCTGAAGTGAATGACCTACCCTACCTTTAAGGCCCGGACACACCGGGCCGATTTTGGCCGTCAATTGATGTCTGGCCCTCGATGAGCGTCCTGTCGCCCTACTCAGATTGGTGTGTCCAGCACCGTCGTGTCTTTTCGGCCGTGCCGACACCTTCCGCATAAATCTAATCGATAGATTTATGATCGATAGATTTATGATTAGAAAATTAAGTAGGGTAGACATGTGGAGATTATCCGAATGAACAAAACGTGATCTGTCTCTTCAATTTGTGTCAACCACAGACCTTATTTCGAGCTATTTTCCAAAATCCTATGGAGAAATTGCATTGGTTATATCTCTCACAGGCTCCGCCCTCTACTGGACTCCATGGGTACTCCCGTGTATCCTATTCATGCTCGCATTCCTTCACTGAGACTTCCATAGATGTAGCCGGCCCCTGGGCGGGCCTACCTGAATGCGCGCGCACCTCACTGCATAAGAGGCGGCCTCGCCTCCTCACTGCTCTCCCTTTCTCTTCAGCTAAGCATCATTGTAGTAACTGAGTGAAGAGAGACGGACAAAGAAAGAGAAATAAGGTTTTTTTCAAGCGAACGAACAATGGACTGTGGAGCGCCCGTGTCCTTCGTGTCCGGGTTCCATCGAGGGTGACGACCCCCATACCCGGTGTATCTGTCTGGGGTCTTTTTACAATTCTTGATCACGGCAGCTACCTGACGTTGTAATCACACGTTACTACCAACCCAGTCTCACATCCAGCGACGTGCAGTCAGGGGAGGCAGGGGAGGCAGAGCCTCACCTGTCATACTCCAATGTAACGGAAAAACAACTAAAGAAAAACTAAATAGTAATAATAATAAAATGTCTCCACTGATCTGTGTTGTAAGTGTGATTTATGTATGATTTCAATCGCTTTTTATAGTCAAAATCAGCAAATTTGCCGAGCTCCGCTACGGGAGCAATGAGAAGTGAGGCAGGGACGTGCTCTGCCTCTCGTAAACCCACAGTAACTTACTGGAGCACGGGCACTAATTTAGCGTGGGCACTTATTTTGTGAGCGCGCTCAAGCCAGTTACTGTGGGGTAAGGTGAGGCACAGATGAGCTCTGCCTCACCTCAGAATGCGTCACCCCACAGAAACTGGCTGGAAAGCGGGCCCTAAGCGCATGCCTGTTACCATCTCACTGTAGGTCACCAATGTAATGTTTGTAGATCCCTTTATTACATTTATCCTCGCCATCCATAGTCTCTAAATAACTTATTTCACGTATATATGATATTTAGGCCCGCTGGTCTCATCATACAGCGACAATGAAAAAAGCACAAGGAGAGGCAGCCATAACCTCTGCCGCACTGAATGGGGCGCACGTGAGCCCACAGGTTCTTGTTGCTACTGTTATTCTACACAGAGACGGTAGACGCAAACAACAAACTAGACTTTTGAAACTACAGGAAGATAAGGAGGACTTTTACAAAAAAGTAATAGAGATTGTTGTCCAGAAGGATAGCATGGACTTCATCTTCAAGTCAAGGTAAGACCACATTTCTAATGAAAATGGGATCTTACTAAGAAAGAACAATCCAATATTTAGATTTTGGGTATCCTTTTGTTGAACGGTCTGTTTAAAATGAATCGAAGCATCAGACTAAAAAAGCTTTTGAAAATAACCGAATATTTCGATTGAGGTCAAAATATAATATTTGTAAATCTGACTCAGTGAGTCAGTGGGTGTTTCTCAATCGCGAGTAAAGCTGCTTCAGAGCCACTATTTCAAGCATACTACGTCATTGAGTGCCGCCGAAGTACTGTTCCAATCTCCAGCATACTTGGAAATCTACCGAGCCCGGCGTACTCCGTTTGGAGAAATATCGAGGCTGCACATGAGTAGACTCCGCGGTCTTAAAATCCCCACAATGCTTTGCGCACGGACCAATTTCCCCAAATCTGTGGCGGAAGATGTAAGGCGGGGCCTCTCATATGACGCACACCTGCACACTTGCTAGCGTGTTCCACACTTCGTTTTCCGAATGCCAGGAAGTATTCTTGACTCGCTTCTGAAGCAAGATGCTCGGCAGACATGTGCTACCAAGCAAGCGTACTCGCGATTGAGAAACACCCCCCGTATTTTTTAAATAAAGAGATTCTCAATCACGGGCGCGCATCAAACGTGTGACGTAATGTGGTATTAAAAGTATTAAAAGAGGTGAAAATCACTACAAGTCTGGGCATGTTGAGAGCTGTACATACACACACATTTCATAGTCTTATATTTCAACAGCTTTACGACAAACTGTGACTTTTTTGACATGGAAATTATTATTTAAGATTGACAAACATCATATGTGTAATTCGTGGCACAATTCAAACGGGATCGAAAGATAATCTTTCTCTCTCCATTGACTTCAATCATGACTTCAATGCATACTTATTCCGAAATAAGATCCCATGGAGGAACCCGGAAGTTTGACGGACATTACCCACAATCCTCTGTAGCATAGACTGTATAAAAAAATTAAATAATACATTATTCCGAGTGTGCTTGCTTTTCTCTTTGAAAGTCATCACATAACGGCATTGTAATACACGTTTCGGCTGCATTAAATATTACATATCTGCCGTAGTTAACTCTATTTATAGAGCCCTGATGACAAGACTTCTAGACAAACAGGAACTGCCGCCAAAACTGAAAACTTGACGTGGATCTTAAATATATAAGCAATTAAACAACATCTTACATTTCTTTTCACACAATACGTCTCCTTGCAGTATCAACACTAATTCGGCTGACTTTTATATTTGATCCAATTGGTAGATAGGCTGTATTTACGCCATAACGGTGCACAGCTGATAGAAAGGGACACCTACTGGTTAAAGCACGTTATTGCATTTTATAATTTTATTATTAGATATTAATAGGATCCCTATAAAGTATATTCTTTACTCGTCGTTATTCTCTACTAATAGTTAATTAAAGACTGTATATAATGACTATTTTGCCCATCCCTTTCAAGATTTCAAGATTTTCTAAGGTTTATTGACATATATTATACACAACTACGGTGTAGTTATGCAATGAATGAAAAACTTGGGTCGCAGGTTCCTCAACAGTGCATTACAAGACATCTATCAATATGTGTTTATTCACCACTACATTGTCATATTCTGCACATTTCTTATACTATCTACATACATCTTATAAGAGTATAATACATATGTATAATATCAGTTAAAATAAGTGCTTAATTTGAGAAATGCATACAAAAAGTCAGTTATTGGGAACATTTATATAATTTATTCTAATTAAAACACCATAACATATCGAACATCACAACAAACAATAAACAAGTAAACAAATAAATACTTTCAAAACTAAAAGTGCACTCAGTACCTTCATAAATTGTTGGTCATTCTTATTAATAAAACTTCAGCAATCCCACCCATGGTGTGAAAAGTCTGAAGCACAGACCCACCTTGTTGCTATTTCAAAGTGAAACAACTCACTTTGTGAAAGCATATATCCCACCAACCGATGCTGCCAGATTTTCGTAATTAAAAACAGCCTATTCAAGTTTTGTGGTGATTAAGTAGGAGCTTTGTATACACTGTCAGTTCTGCACACACTGTTAAGCAGATTTAGGCTCTATGAAGTGGCTGCATTATCTGAGTGTTGAGTTGGGGGAGCAAAGGTCAGGGGTAACACTATAGGTGGAATATAATGAAGATGGTTGAATCCACACATAAAACACAGATTCATTGAACAAATGAAGAAACGATTTAAAGATAATAAATTATGTTGGACTATGATGTGTGGATATGAAGACTCAGCTTTTAAAATGAGTTTAAGAATCAGTTGCATGGGTTGAAATGACAGTGGACTTCCTCATCCTCACTATTTAATGATGGTTCCTTCGGGGCATTATGTGCATCCAGGGCACAAATACTGTTGATCCACTGGAGGCCTTTGTACACATTGGTGGTGGTACCACCGCCGACAAATGTCACAGCAAATCTGAGAAAACAATAAATACTTGTTAAGGTTTTCATGATAATAGAATATCTCAAATGTATTTACCACTAACATTCTAACCAT